CGGTCGCGGCGCGTCACCGAGCGCGCAGAGAGGTGCGGGAAGGACAGCGATAGTAAAAGTCGAGGGATGAAGGGAAGAAGCTGTACTGACACCGTCCAGCCGGTTCCTAACCGCAGCCGCATCTCCACCGCCCCGGGAGCGGCTGGGGAAGCCTCCCTTTGCACATGCCCGGGAAGAAAAGTGAGGCTGGGGTCACGCAAACACCCATGCATGTTTTCCCGTCTTTCCCTGGAGTGCCTTCGGACACGCTTTCATTTGTCGACTTGCGCCGAAGCTGAAACCGCCAAGTTTGCGAGTAAAGACGAGAGGAAAAAAAAACCCACAAAAACAACACGACAAACAAACAAGCAAGGGAAAAAAAAGACGAAAGTGATGCGGCGGTTCCAGCTGCCGCCGTGCGGGGCCGTGGCCGAGCTCTCCCGTGTTCCCGAGGGGAAGGCGGCGGGGCCGCCCGCAGCCCGCACAGACCGCGCTTGCAACTCAACTTCGTCCTGCGCGAAATTCTCCGCGGTTTGGGTCATAATAACTCATTTAGAAATTAACAGCTGTAACGGGGTGAGAGGAGTGTGATTGGGAAAGACTTCACTGTAAACACCAGTATGCTGCAGTAAACCATCTTATGAAGGAAGAATTCTCCCATCATTTTATGGGAAAATAATAACATTAACATTAACTAGTGCTTACCGGGGTTTATTAAATTTAGGGGGAGTCAACGGAGTTAGAGAGTAATTTGAGATCAGAGGCACCAACCTCTCTGCAGAAGCAAGAAAAGAGCGTAACCTTAGGCAAGGTACCTGTGACCTCTCTGTACCTGTGTGATTCTTCACAAAAAATGATGCTGACAATCTCTACTGTCGTGGGAATGTGCTGGATTTCTGTATCAGGAAAAATGCATAGAATTGGTAATTGTAAACTTAGATTATATGTAATGATTTTGTAAGAAATCTCAGTGAGGACAGCTTCTTATGAAAACTCAGGAATAGTTGATTTTCTAGCTATGACTGCAGTGGGCCAAACTATCTCCTATATCCACACTACCAAAGACATAAGGGAGTTAGTTATCTAACTAAAAGTTTCTTGCCACTGGGTGATCTAGGCCTATAAACTCCAACTTTTTTCTGCAAACCCCTTGGGAATTTGAAAATATTTTCCCCGGCTATTTATGAAATATATTGGTGACCTTAAGCAAGCATTCTTAGGTCTGAAATGTCAAAAAGATAAATATTACTTCATCTACTCAACACTGTCATATATGTTATTCTTGACCATTAACAGATTAAATATACTGGCTATAGCAGCACAGCTTTGTTTGCAAACAATTTCTGTGACAAAGACATTAGGATATACTAGAATCCAAGTTTGCAGTTTATAGTTTTTACTTCTATATTGGCATAGATATATATTCAGAAGCTCATTTTTTAGCAGAGTTTGATTCATAACAAGCATTATTTTTCCATAGTTATGTTTGGGGCTTTTTGGGGGCATAACTGGGGTACTGAACACAAGAAGTGGGACCCAGGCATGTGTAAAATTCAGGTTAAAAAGTAAATTATTTCATGACCAACATTCTGGAATGAATGTTCTTAGTTTTCATAGATGATCTGTCTTATTCAAAGTTTTATCTGAACTCCTCTGAATTGTTTTTCAACACTACATCACTTCTGAAAAATTTCCACAGTCATTTCAAAGTAATTACAGGACATTTAATTACAATAAATGCACTAATACCACTTGTCCATCCCACTTTTCAGCTAAAATTCACTGGTCCTGCAGGCTGGCATGTTTTATGATTTAGCTATTCCTGTGCATTGTGTAGCAATGTTTGCTTTAATTTCTGAAATAAGTGGGGTTTCAGAGATACAGAGAGCCATGAATTGGGATGGTTAAGCACAACACATGCACCCTTTTTCTACCCAACAACTTCAGGAACAACATAGGGGTGACAGAATCTTCAGTAATGCAACAGATTTGCCAGAGGATGTTTGCTTAAATCATCTCTGTAAAACAATTTCATTATCCTGAAAGAAAAAATGATCCCGTTTTACCCTCCTATTCCTTTTCTTCTGTCATGCACCCTACCCCAACTCTATTTCACCACATCACCTTCCAGTTTGAGATTTGACTGGGAATGCTTTGCTAGTGTTTAAGTACACCGACCAAATAATTCTAATATTAGCATCTTTCCTGCCTGCTAAACTATGCTTTTGCCAGCATACCAGTCTTCCTCCAAGAAAAATAAACTGTGTTGGGTAATGCTCAGATTTATCAAAATATACTATCTGTGTGAGGGGCATTTGCCATCAGTTATGTCAGTCATAAAATTTTACCTCTGTCCACCCTAAAATGACAGAGGCATGCCTAGAAAATTATAGACCTTGCTTTTGGCAATGAAGTTTAGATGTAGCAAATACAGTTTTGTTGGCACAGAGCCCTACTGATTGCACATTTCCATGCTTCAAGTACTTGGGGTTCCTTAGCTGTATAAAAAAATTGTGATAATGTCATTTATGTATAAGTGTATTTTAACTTGTTTTCATTACTGAGCTATATGGATGGATGCTAAACACTGGCCAACAGCATGGTTTTTCAAGCAATTAACTTCTCAAGCCATCGATGAATTTTGCTTGGGAAGGCTGTTTGTCTGAATAATAGTTAAATGATTGAATTTATTACTTCTAGGGGCATGCAACTGGTTTTAGTTACATCTGGAAGTTTGATTCTACAAGCCCAGCACATACAGCGTCCAGTTGGGGTTTTTTGTTTGTTTCCTTTCCCTCTGTCCTCCATCTCCATTAGCAGGACTGAAGCACGAGGCCCTATGAATATGTAGCTGTATTTACATACTACCCAAATTCACAGTTACTCAGAAGACGCTTTCTGAAAAACTGGATGCATGAGTAGGTTGAATTTCAAAATTTATGACATCCTTTAAAAATAAGTTTTTCCTTTGCTCTTATTCTAAATATAATTTTGAAATATCTTTCAATATCAGGATAAAGAGTAACAGTTGAAAGGGATCTGTTTGATGTTTGGCTTGGCTGTTGCCTTTTACCTGTTGCCAGGTTCACAGAGCTGATGGTAGTGAAGCCATGGGAAAAAGGTGCAGAGAAAGATTACGTGCGTCAGCAACATTTTCTTATACTATCAAGAGTACAGTTATCTGTTCCAACAAAACAGAGTGATTTATATTTTGATGTCCTTGAACTTCTACATAAACAGGTGAAGTCATTTTATTCCCTGGTACATTTATTTGCATATTCCTGATACAGTGTCATTCTGGTTATACATTTCATAACCTGAGTGTAAGAGGACATGAACTCCGGTGAACTTGTTTCTCTCTAACCTTTCTCAACTCCTTTGAGTGCTAATGTACCATGACTGTGCTACTATCCAGTTGAGAAGTCTGTGTTATTTGGGAGGAAGGACAGGTCATCTTTCCAGATAGTTTTACAAAAGACTATTGATACCACTAGTTTACTAACTCCTAACAGCAGGGTTTATTCCTTTATAGCAAGAACTAATGCTAAATGATACAGTTGCCCTTATCGTTAAATAGGGGCTGTCAATTTTTTCCCCCTGCTCCTGTGTAAACAACTATGGGTGGTTTTATACAAGAGGGAAAGATACTCAGAAATCACAGACTAAAAATACTTCTTTCTTAAGTAAAGGTTACTTGCTTCAGTGAATATAGCACCCACAGTTTTCCAGAGAATTCCAGGTTAAATAAATAGGGATTACAGTTATGCAACTTTGTGCATATTCAGTAATTCTTGAAGCAATAATATTTTTATTAATTATTTGAAATATGCACAGAAATAATGTTGATGTCACTACCTTGTACGTTCTTATGGGGGGGGGGGGATTAAGCCGAGGAAAATCTGGAGCATGCCTTATTTACAGATTTTTAAAATTTTTTTTTTTACTACGACTTGGAAATTTTTCTCCATTTGGATCATTTCTTCCTCAAATTTGTATCTCAAGGGGCAGATTCAGAACCCCGGAGTCCCCAGGCAGGCGGATACACTGGTGGTGTTTGGGGAAAGCCCTGCGCAAGTTCCCGGGCTCCGAACAAGGAGTCAGTCCATCTTCCTGCGGCAGGTGAACCCGCAAAGGGCCCATTCGGTCCCGGTCTCGCTGCAGCAGCGTGTCCCCGGGCCCGGCGGGGCTCCCCGGTCCCTCCCGCCGTGGGGCTCCGCCGGTTCGGTAGCGCCGCCCGGTGCGGGGGCTGCGCGCGTCCGGCGCCTCCCGCGGAAATCGCCGCTTTTGGTAAAGCTGCCGGGGCGAGCCTGGGGAAGGGCTGGGGGCGTGCGGGGGGTGGGGATCAGCTCCGGCCCCGCTCCCGCCCCTCCGCTGCCGGTGCGAAAATTACGCACTGGGGGCTGATATGCGTCAGCGCTTCGCAATCACCAGGATTTTCTTCCTGGAACATCTATTTTTGTTGGTTGCGGGTTTTATTTTGGTTCGGGTTCGGTCTGCGTTTTTTGTGGGGTTCTTTTTTTCTTTTTTTCCCTTTATGTGTGTGCGCGGTGGGCCGCGATGGCGGAGCCGCAGGTCCGCGGGGCAGCCTCGGTACGCGCCCCCGCCGCGCTGCGTGAGGGCACCGCGATAGGGCCGCCCCCGGTGAGGGCACCGCGCTGGGGCCGCCCCCCCTGGCGGCTCCGTGGGGGCACCGCGGGCGCGCTGACGGAGCAGCAACGTGCGGGCTCCCAAACACCTTCTGTTGTTGATGGTTTGTTGGTTTCTGTTCGTTCGGTTCTTTGTTAGTGGTTTTTTTTTTTTTTTTTTTTTTCACCTCCCTCCGGGGGAAATGCTGTCTTTCATTCCTACTGGATTGATCACTGATTTAAAAAAAATATTGTTATTTAAAGAAAAGTGGCTGATTGACTATAACCAGTTCTGTCCTAGGGGAAAAAACAAAGTGTTCGAGAAGCAACAGAGACAAATATTTTTAAGCAATAATTGAAGTCAATACTCCTCTTGCCTCTGAAAACATACAGCCCTTTTTGCCTTTTTTTTTTAAGAGGTTTTGTAATGTACTTTTCTGACCTGTATGGATAGTCAAGATCTATGGTCCTTTAGGGTATTTTTCTCTCCAAGATGAGAATGGATGATATAATTCAATATTTCTTTGATGCAATGTTTGCAGAAAATTTGCAAAGCCTCATTTGCCCGAACACCATAGGACTTGAACAGAAGAGGGCTTGTTTGTTTGTCTGTTTTCTGCTTTTTCAATTCTGTTTCTTACTAGTAGTATTCTGTTTGAAAATCTATTTGTTTACTTTTTTTTCCCAAGGCAGGTTACTCTAGCCATTTTTTCTGTTCTTTTCTGAATGTTCTTGAAGACTGTTCCCCCAGCAAAATCATTCCAGTCATTCAGCTTTCCTCTCTGCCTTACAATTCATTTGGCTATTTGCATCTGGCCTTTGCATCTGCTTTAGGTAGTAGCTTTTTTTCCTCTAGACTTTACAAAAAAAACTTCAGAAGGTAGCCTAACTTTCTCCATCATTTATCTTGACATCAGGACAATTTTCCTAGCAGCAGGGGTAATGCAGTTCTGGAGTAGACTGTCAAGGGATTTTTTATAGAGTCCCTATCACTAGAGCATTTTAAGCTGTGCAAATATTGCTCAGGAATGACACAAGTACAGTTGTCCTGACTCAGGATGATCTCATGTTTACTTCCAGTCCTATTTTGTTGGATTTCTCTGATGTACATATACCTATAAATAGCTCCAGGATTATTACTGTTGAAAGAGAAAAGAACAATCTTCACTTTCTCTCTCTCTCTCTCTCTCTTAATTTTTTCTTTTCTTTTTCTGTCTGCTAATTTAACTGTGCAAAATAAAGAGTGTAAAACTGTGATTATGAATAATCTCTTAGTGTTTGGGATACACTTTTCGTGCAATTCTGTCTTGTGCAGGACATTTGCTGATCTCATTTGTGCATGCACAAGACCACCAGGAATATGGAGACATCTGGGGTAATAGAGACACTGCAGAGAAAAATCTTGCCTGCTTTTCTCAGTGTACCCCTTCAGTGGAAGTTTTATGTGCATAAGGTGAGGAAGGCTTGCCCTCAGAGTAGGCTGACTACTTTCAAGGAAAATTACCATCTATTTACATTATTTAGGCAATGTCTGGGAAACTCACTGGAGCCTCAGGCTTCCATTGTGTTAGACACTGTGTAGATGGGTAATTAATGGTGGGCCTCCTTCTGTTTTTTTTAATGTATATATTGTACATATGCAGTGACTTGAGGAGTATTGCCAGTGTGGGGAGGCAAATGCAATTCTGCAGTCCCGTGAATGCTGTGGCTGACTGACAAGCAGCAGCTTCAGCTCACCCAGTTCCTAACAAATGGACACTGCAGGCACACTCAGCATGTAAAGAACTGAAAAGTGTCAGTCTTCCATATTTTGATGGGCTTATGTGCATGGGGGAAGCACAAAAACAACACATGACCTGAGGGAAGAGGTGGAGGATCTTTTTGAAATATATTTTTGGAAGCACATTTTTTCAGGTATGCAGATTAAGTGCAACTATTAATTTCAGGAAGGTTAAGCATCACAACAAGATGAGTCCAAAACTCTTGGCACCAGAAATACATGCAGTTTCATATGCTAATGAAAAAGGTTGAATGAAACCTGCTCCCAGTTCTTGGGCACAAGGGCTCAAACACCCCACCCATGCTAGAGACTCTCTCATGGATTGTGGGGCATAAGAAGGAGGAGCAGCATGTCCAAGATACTTGTTGTATCAAGCACTACCGTGGTTGGAGGCAATCTACATGTCTAACAATAATAACTTGATTAAAAAGTTGCTGTCAAGTAAATTCCACAGAAAGGAAAAATAAAAAGTTCTTGCCTGTTCTGCTGAGTGCTCATGGATGCAAAATGAAATGGTCACTAAATGTTTTTTAAATATTCATGTGAATGTGACATGTTCATTACTAAAGTGTGAGAACACAGATGAAATACAAGTGAAGAGTGTGTTTTCAGTTCAACTGCTGATTAAGCAAAGGAACAGCATATGTAACAGAAGAGAATGAGGTAATCATGGCACATGAACATGTTTTTAATTTCATTCGTTGCATTTAATCATACAATAAGGGAATGCTTCTGGGTGCCTCGCTTCATTCCTACACACTTCTTTTTTGAGAGACTCTTTACCAACTTGTAAAAACTTTCAGGGTTACAGAAGTAGATTTTTTAAAGATGAATAATTCCAAATGCAGACATTGCAAGAGCTGCTGTCTCCTCCTGAATGCAGCTGGTGTGGTAGTGGATCAGTGAGCTGAGATTCAGTTCACTACCTGGCAGTGACCAAGCCAAAGCAAACCCTTTCTTCAGCTGGCGTTGTGTAAGGACCTGAAAGATGCCTTAGAAATGAAGCTTCCTGGGGGTATCTTTTTCTTGTACCTTCCAGTGAGCTGGAAGGACCTTGCATTTCTGGTACAAAGTGTTCTGAGTTCGTTTGCTAACAAAAACCTCTGTCCCAACTAAATTGAATCTAGTGAGAGATCCCGGGGCTGCACTGCAGTTTGGCCTTTGGGTTACCCTTGCCAGCGTTTATTTACAGAAGTCTCCTCTGCAACTATTTCCTGAGAAGGTGTCTTTCTTTGTAATAAAATGACATTTTTTGCTTTGTTCAGGAATGGATAAACACAACCAGTGTTCTAAAAATGTAACTATCACACTGGTATAAGTTAAACAGATACAATTTATAGCTTGTGGAAAGATCAGATAGTTTTGAAGTCAGTAGCTGGCTGTAAAGTTGTTAATTGAACATTTGCTGAAAAATGCCTATGGGGAACTGATCTTGTTATTCATGCAGGATAGTCAAGTTTAAAAACAACAGTTGTTGCCTATATTTAAAGAAATATTTACAAGGTAAAAACCACGGTCCCCAAAACATTCTCACTTTGAGACATCCTTACATTACCATTCCTTTAGGCAGGTAATGCTGAAGTAATCTTACTACACCATTTAATGACTTTTTGATTTAGTTTGTGGTTTTTTTGGTTTTTTTTTTACTTTCAGATTGAAAAAAATAGCAAGTTTTCATATTTCTCACTTTTGAAGGCTCTCTGTAATGAATTAATTTTTTTTTCAAGTGCAGGTTCAACTTTGTAACCACACTGCACATACAAATCAAATTGATACACTACTGTAAACATTGCCTCCACTTGGATTTTAATATTCAGAGGAACCTGAAAATCTTACAAACCAGTCACTGACTCACAGAATCACTAAGATTGGAAGGGATCGTTTGGGGTCATCTACACCAATCTCCCCATTCAAACAGGGTACCCTAGAGAATTCTGCTCAAGATTGTGTCCAGATGTCTCATGAATATCTGCTGGAAAGGAGACTCCACAATCTCTCTGGGCAGCCTGTTCCAGTACTTTGTCACCTGCACAGTAAAGAAGTTCTTGCCTATCTTCATGTGGAACTTCCTGTGCTTCAGGATTTCTGTGTTCCTGTTCCCTCAATTGTTTCAGCAAGACTGAGGAGGACACATCAATTGACAAGGCTCCCTTCTATTTGAAAATTACCTCACAGAACTGACAGTATTTTATCTCAAATTCATTAGTTTCAGTAAATTAATTCCTGTCCCTCATTTTAAACTTTTAAGTGCTGAATAGATATCCTAGTTTTTCTTGCAGGTGCTGATAAAGGAGTGGAGCTAGGCTGCTATTCTATACCTTGCGCATCCTCTCTGGAGACAGTGGCTTGGGGGGGAAGAAAAGGGGAACACACTCTGGAAGTGGGGCCATTTTGTTCCATTTCTCCCTGAGGAAGTCACCAGGACCAGCCCTGCAGACTTTGTCCCTCTCTCGCTGTTGCCCATCCCTTCCCATCCCTCAGGAAGAATGCAACTCCAGGTGGCAAACACAGCTGAGCCCAGCAGAGCACACAGCCTGTGGGGCTGCTGTGGGAAGCAGCCACAGGAACAGAGCAGCAGAGGTGAGCCATGCCTGGGCTGAGCCTGGGCTGAGCCTGAGCTGAGCATGAGCCTGAGCCTGAGCTGAGCCTGGGCTGAGCCTGAGCTGAGCCTGAGCTGAGCCTGAGCCTGAGCCTGGGCTGAGCCTGAGCTGAGCCTGGGCTGAGCCTGAGCCTGGGCTGAGCCTGAGCTGAGCCTGAGCCTGAGCCTGGGCTGAGCCTGAGCTGAGTCTGGGTTGAGCTTGGGCTGAGCCTGAGCTGAGCCCAAACTGAGCCCAAACTGAGCCCAAGCCCAGCCAATCCCAAGCCGAGTGGAGAGGAGACGA